GAGATCTACATCCACATTGCTCAATGCTGGAGCCTCCTGCATTGGGGCTAGATGCTCCCCATTCCCAGTGCAACATACTAACCATTCATTCTGCTCTTGCTACCCTGTTAACCTATAGGTTTATAGGCATCAGGTGACTCCCTACCATTCTTTCACATGACATCACTGCAGTTTAATGATTGGCCAATGTGTGCAGGAAAACAGAGCAGCAGCAATCTATTCCTCCCACTGCGCTGTTGTTGCTACAAGGTACCTCCAGGTATAGGGATTGGGTGACCTTACCCTTCTCATGTGATCATGCTGCAGCTTACAACTGGCCCAGCTCGGTCATGTGCGGGAAAACAAAAAAAAGGGAAACAGACAATCCTGTCAAAGCTCCAAATGGGATATTACTGGAGCTTACAAGAGGCTTCTTGCCTTCATTGTTCGCAATGAAAAAAAAAAAAAATGTTTGCAGTTACTGTAAAGCCAGTCCTAGCCAAGTTCACTTTAAAGTCCTGTGAAATAATATTTAATCTCTAGTGCTAGGTGAAGAACCACCAAACTATGCACTATTCATTTTTAAAACCGGCCCCATAACCACAGCAAAGTCTGAAAGATTAAACAAAAAAAAAGGATGTTTATCGGGTCACTATGCCACCACTTACAAACAAAATAGTTTCCATAGCCTCTAATGGGAAAACCATTAAGATCTCCAAATAAGAATTGTGGAAACAAAAAAAAAAAAAAAAAAAAAAAAAAAAACAGAAAAGGATAAAAAAAAAATATAAAAAGTAGAAGTGTAAGCAACTATCAATTGTAATAAAAGATTTTTTTGTGCCTGACCATTTGAACTCAAGGAAGGTCTATCTCTCCCCCCCCCCCCCCCCCCCAACACACACCGGTAGCAAAAACAACAAAAAGGGTGAGGGTGCCATTACTGACTTGTCAGATATACCATCTGCCCAGCTGTGGTACTATTCAGGGGTGGACTGACAACCCATGGGGCCCCCAGGCAATAGGGGATCATGGGGCCCGTGACCTTGCCCAAAATAAAAAAAGCCTATGAAAAAAAAAAAAAAAAAAAAAAAAAAAAAAAAAAAGAGAAGGTGTACCAGGGGCATCTCATGGGGCCCCCTACTAACTCCAGGCCCTCGGGCAGTGCCCGAGTTTCCAAATGTTCAGTCCGCCCCTGGTACTATTACAATAACTTCAATACTCTGAACCACTGATCAAGCATGCGGAGGATTTCTGACTGATGTACTCACTTGTTTGGGGGTCACTCACTTAGAAAATATTGAAGATAATGGATCAAAATGACAGCTAGGCCACTAGCATTTTCAGAAGATGCTCAGCAGTGTCACTCGCTGTATTTTATCTCTGTACAAGCTTTGTAGACCAGTGGACCATTTTCTTCTTTCAACTAACTGCTCCACTGCTGCCAGCCAAAACTGTGGCCAGAGTGCAGGTGGAGGACCCCTTTAGAGCCAATGTCTGAACACCCCCACCCCGTAGCACTTATGAACACATGTACTAGAATCCTCTTAAGCAAGGCCCTTTAACGCTCTTGTATTTTATTGGAACGATCAAAAAAAAAAAAAAAAAAAAAAAAAAGGACACAACAAAAACAGAAAATGTTACTAGTCAATATGTAAGATACTGACTAGTAACTTGTGTTTTTTTTCTGATCGGTCCAATACAATAAAATACAAGTGTATGTGTGCAAAACACTTTCCCGTTCAATTCTGGCAGCTGTGGACATTTACAAATCTATGCATGTGTAACGCACGCACTATACAGACCATACTTTTTTTTACTCAGATTTTCTGCCAGGAAGATCTGTAAAATATCAGTACCTTGTGCAAGAACTCCAACACACCAAGTCCCCTCGACTGTGCTGTCTACCTTCCCAACAAGGTGAACTCTGAAGCTGTCCATACACTACTGGACTTTTGAACAAATATTCGTACGAAAATTCTCAGTACATTTGATGACTTGACCAACATTGTAAAAAAAAAAAAAAAAAAAAAAAAAAAACCCACACCACTTTGTTTGCTTTTAACATTCGACGATGTTGAAATTAATGTACTTTCCCAGCAATAAAAGAAAAAAAATTTAATTAAAAAGATAAAAATTTTCCATCTTGCTCCTTCCCAATTGTCCCATCACTGCGGCGGAAAGTTAACAGATTTTAACTCAATTAAAAAAAAAACAAAAAACACAAAGTTCTTAAATTGAAACGTTTCAAATGAAATTCTACTAGTGTAAAGCCAGCTATAGCCTCCAACTGTGGTCTGGTCAGTACAAACCGTACAGGAAGGGGGGGGGGGGGGGGGGGGGTCAAAAGATCATTAGCTGTTTGGCAGAAACAAGAGGAAGTGCTGACAGGTTGGTGGGAGGCGAGGAGCAGTTGGAAGCAAAATCTTCATACAAAGACCCGGTCCTCATTTTACACAGAATATCTAATAGAATATCAGATTTGACAGTGTGACACGCAAACTACAGGAACCCCAAGCAACAATCTGGCTGCAGTACGACACAATTTGTTGCTGAGAGTCATGGTATGGTGCAGAGAGCGTGCTTTTTGCATTTAACATCCCTCTACGTTAAGAGCCTCATCAAAAAATAAATAAAAAACAAAAAACACACAAAAACAAAAAAACAAAAACCATACAACAGGAAAAAAAAAAAAAAAAAAAACCCACACACACACTTATTGATTGCTAAAGTTTTAACAATTTTTCACCCTAATGAAAAGAAAATCAGATTTTCACAGTGTACTTTCCTTACCATGCACAAAAAATCCTTTTACAAATCAGCATTATATCGTATCCAATGCAAAAATTTTTTTAAATTTTTTTTTTAAGGCTTTAATAGGTTAGTAAAGGGTTAAAACCCATTAAGTGCTCACGGCTGTCTGTGCACCAAAACAAGGTACTAAGTTGAGACCTTCCAAAAGGGATGATTGTTGGGGGACTTCCCTTGACTTCCTGTTGAACAGCCCAGGGGTCCCCACTGTACTCCAGTTTCAGCTTTAACCACTTTCCCTCCTAATGACCAGGCCTCTTTTTGCTACTCGGCGTTGCACTAATTCAACTGATAATTGCGCGGTCATGCAATGCTGCACCCAAACGAAATTTACGTCCTTTTTTTCCCACACAAATATTTCTCTCAGTGGTATTTGATCACCTGTGCGCTTTTTTATTTTTCACGACCGGCCTGTGACCCGGCGACTGACATCCGCGGCCATGATCGGCGGGACAGGTAGGGTGGTGGCGCGCCTCGCGTGCGCCCCGTTTTGCAAACACGTTTGGAAACGTGGTTTTGCCCAGCCGTGCCACCCTGCCAATGTATTTCTACAGTGGCCTGGCGGCATGTGGTTAAGTGTATTTTGGCTTTAAGCAGCTTTCAGGCACTTTCCGCCAACACATTCATGCTGGCTGGTAAAATTAACTTTTAGCACCGTTAACAGTCTATAACCCACTTCAGCAAATGGTTTAATATTATACCACAGGGCAATTATCAGTAATGTGCAAAAACCCAGCTGCCACTCATCCATTGAGGAAATGAGACTGCTCTGCAGCCAAACATTTGGATTGCTGGCAGAGTAATATTTAAATACATATGCAAAAACATGAATGGTACCTAAATACTTAAACATAAATGTTACAATGTAAAAACAGAACAAATAAGAACTGGAAATCTGTTGGTACTTTAAACACAAAACTTCAAGCGTTACTAAACCCAGAACCCCGCCCCGCCTCTCACTATATCCAGTATCCCATAGTACACAACATGGAAAGGCAATATTTTAGTAAATATAAAATTGGTAAATACCTTCTCTTCAGAAGTTAGAGCAGTATTGTGGCTTATATTAGTGTTCAGCAGAACACTGGTTAAAGCTTGTAGGATTCAGAAACCCCTGACCTCTGCCTGGACAGTGCCGATGACATAGGAAAAAGAACACACACACACACACACACACACACACACACACACACACACACACACACACACACACACACACACACACACACACACACACACACACACACACACACACACACACACACACACACACACACACACACACACACACACACACACACACACACACACACACACACACACACACACACACACACACACACACACACACACACACACACACACACCTAAAACTGAGCATGTGCAAAATGCCTACAATTCAGTCTGTCCAATTAGGAGATAGAGGTGGTCACTTGAAGAAAAAAAAAAAAATGGGAGTAACAGAAGACAGGATCAAACAGCCTTTTTACACAATGAGAGGATTAGCCCCTTAGGTTCCACAGTGAGTATAACAATCATACTGGATATACAGACTGATTTTACGGTTATGGGTTTAGTAACACTTTAAGGCCTTCTGCACACGGGACATTTTGCCATCTCTCCTACACACCATCCTGGTGGCTGCATTAGGGCAGGAAAAAAAAAAAAAAAAAAGCTTGATGCTTGTAAAAACGCATGCAACACATTGAGGTGCATGAAGCACTTGGGCATGAAATCATTTCATTGGCCAGAATAATAATTTATGCTGGCCATTGAAATTGATTACCTCAAGCGCTAAAACGCATGTTTAGACGTGTTAACATGTTTAGCATTCTGCCAAAACACTGCTCATGGACATGCTGGCAGTGATTTTTATTTTTCCTGCCTATAAAAGGTCTATGACACATAGGCTAACATGGAAGGAAGTGTATATGAAAAGACAAAAAAGTTCTTACGGGCCTAGTGCATTACCTTTACAAATTAGATGAATAAAAAAGTAAATTACTCACATGAGAAATAAAATCAAATGGAAAGTATGTCACAAGAGATGCAGTGTGGTCCAAGATCCCTGAAGGTGGTCTGGTGGGGGGGGGGGGGGGGGGGGGAACTGTAGACCTCTGGATAGCTGATGTGTTTTGAGGTTGTACCTCTTCCTCAGAGCCAATCAAATTGATTTTATTTCTCTTGTATTACTTTTTATCAATCTCATTTGAAGGAGTTTTCTTTCTGCTCCAGGTGGATACAGAACCCCTGATATCGGTCTTGACAATGCAGATTAGCCCTGTGCTGATCACATGCACTCTCCCAAAAAAAAACAAAAAACTTTCTAGCCATACACACCAAACTAAGCATGTTCAGAGTGTCTCCACACTGTTATCAGGAGCTAGGAGGGAGACGCTGGAAGGGGAGGATCAGAGAAGATAGGATCAAATAGTGTTTTTACACAATGCAGAGGATTAACCCCTTAGGTCAGTGGTATATTTAGGTTTTGTGCTGCCCTAGGCAACATAAAAATCTCTCCCCCCTCCCCCATGGAGAGACCGTGACCAACACCCCCCTTCACCATGAAGAGAGCCTGACATTGACCAACAACACCCCAGCCCCACCCAAGAGAGCCTTCCACTACCACCTCCCCCAATGTACTAGCAACCCCCCAATTCCAGCAAAAGAAAATACTAGTTTTCACAGCTCCGGAAATCGCCAGAAAAAAAAAAAAAAAAAGTCAGGCTCTGCATACACCAAGCAGCCTCTCAGATCCCCCCCGAGATCCATGCTACATGTGTGTCCCTTCTTCCATCCCTTCTTTCGGGGGTTGCGCCGCTTACCTGAAAAAATGCCACCCTAGGCAAATGCCTTGTGGTAAACACGCCCCTGCCTTAGGTTCCACAGTGAGTATAACAAGCATGCTTTTCTGCATATACAGACTGATTTTACGGTTGTGGGTTTAGTAACACTTTAACATGGGTGTATATTCTTTTTTTTTTTCAAAAAGGTGGCCAATGCCGTTAATGATTGCAAGCCATGCAATAATGTGTGTCATTTATATATGCCTGGAGCAGGTCCTCGAAAGTTTACAATTCCACATGAGCTCTTTGCGGCAGATGGGTTATCATCTGTAATAATAGGACACACAACTAATCTGCTGTCTTGGTTTTATGATCCGGTCACTTCTCATTTAGGCAGTATTTACTGTTCTCAAGCCATCCTTCCATTATCTCATAAATGTAACGACTCTTTATGAGCAAAGATACAGAAAAGTCCGGTCCACATGGATACAGCAATGAAGATCGGTCACATACCTTGTCATTGGCAGATGCTGCTGGAGGATTTGCAACCTATCAAATAAAAACACAAAATTAGAACCCCCATTTGGACCTCCAGCCTAGCCTGGGAAAGTCAACACAGAACAGGATACCATAAAAGTCTATTGAATTTCAGATAGCAGAACATATTACTCTACAGACCTGAACACTTGGCTGTCTCCTGCGCGCTGGTCACATGACGTTACAAAAAGCATTCACGCAGGAAGTGTGGGCTGCTCGGTGGTAAGCCAGAACCATAAAAAATGCTTTATGTACCTAGCAAATATACGTTTATTAAACAGCGTGCAAAGCAATACCGCGGCTAACTGCAGCAAATGGGAAGTCGATCGTTATTAAAGCGGAAAAGTTTCTAACTGCACGCTCACTAAAATGTTAGCTACTTTGAAAGCTAAAAGTCGCGCACAATGTTTCCCCATAGCATGCGTGTGAACAAACTGCAACGCAGGCCAGTTTTTAGAGATTAAAAATATATCAGTCCCAAGACCTCCTTGGCCAGGAAGAGACAGCTGGGCCCCCCATGACCAACATGTGCTGTTGAGTACCCCAAAGCCTCCTGAGATGCATGGCATCAGTGTCCTAATGGGGTTGTGGGTGCCTAGGCAAGAATATAGGGAGCTCTGGCCAGCTCAGTGGATTGCTTTTAAAAAAAGGCCTGGATTCTTTCTCAGGCCCCATGTACACAGGACACTTCTGAACGATGGAAACTGACTGCTGGAAAATGTAGGTTAAAAACATTTTAGCCGCATTTGCATACCGCATTTATGCGTATTTACATTTAGAAACATTTTTTAAAGATATGCGCAGGAGAACCTCCCAAATGCCCAGAATGCACTGAAAAGTGGAAAATTATTAACTATTTCAAACGGTTTCGGAGAAATATAGAGAGTAGAAGCAGAGACAGCAGTATGTGTTGAGATAATTAGGGGTGAGTTGCTCATTAACATTTCTTTTGTTTCCAAGGGTGGGAAAGGTGGCTGGTGGAGGGAGTCATTAAGGCCACCTGGCAGGGGGTCCTCATGTTAATGACCATTCACACCTCAGATTCCTCATGAGGACCCCCTGCCAGGTGTCCTTAATGACTCCCTCCACCAGCCACCTTTCCCACCCTTGGAAACAAGAGATATGTTAATGACCATTCACACCTCAGATTCCTCATATCTTTTGTACCCAAGGGAGGGAGAGGTCTGAGGTGTGAATTGGTTATTACAATGTGTGACAAGCTTGGTAGGAACATCCTGTGTTCAGTGTTTTGTCCATCTGAGTACCTTGAAAACTATTTCCAGTCATTTTTCATGATGAAAAAAGGCTCTGGACAGCATCGGAAACTGTGGAAGAGTTAAAAAAAAAAATTTCAGACGCAAATGCTTATAAAACGTGATTTGCCACGTTTACAAGTGTCTTGCATTTGAAACGCTGATAAAATGGACTGCTGAACGCAAGTTTTTCTGCATTCGAAAAACAACAACTGTAAACTCAAATGCTTGTAAATGAAGATGTGTACATCTGCTGGAAAAAAAACAAAAAAAAAAAAAAAAAAACAAAAAAAAAAAAACACGCTGAACAGCTCCTAACGTGAATATATCAGCTGCAGTGTACATGGGCCCTTAGATACACAGAATATAACATTTATAGGTAAAGGTGATCCAGGGAATATCTGATTGCCTCTCGGGGGATCAGGAAGGAATTCCAGCAGGAGCAAATTGGATCATGCTTTGCTGGGTTTTTGCCTTCCTCTGGGTGTAGGATTATAACTTTTTTTAATGTTTGAACTGGATAGACTTGTCTTTTGCAGCCAGACTAAGAAACTGTGCTGAGAAGGGATAAGAAAAAAAAAAAAAAAAAAAAAACCACACAACACAAAAAAAACACAATTACAATACAAAAAAAATTTAAAAAAAAGTGTCCAATTGTGTGAGAGGAGGTGCACCAGAGTGCAAAGATAGTGGGTAGGGCGGTGTAGGTCTGCGCAGGGGTGGACTGACCATTTGGAAACTCAGGCACTGCCCGAGGGCCCGGGGTCAGTAGGGGACCCCATGGGATGTCCCTGGTACCTTTTTCATAGGCTTTTTTGAGTTTGGGCAAGGACACAGGGGCCCCATGATCCCCTATTGCCCGGGGGCCCCTTGAGTTGTCAGTCCACCCCTGGGTCTGTGTTAACCACTTGAGGACCACTGGTACGTTGCTGGACTTTGAGTGGTTATACCGGGATGATGGCCGCAGCACCGGAAGCACTGAGCGCTGCATCACTTCCAGCTTCACCAGATGTAAACAAACACTATTATGGGTCATGCAGCCTACGTTTGCTCAGACACGGCAGCCCAATCATTTGGAATGGTGGCACGGGTGACATTCAGATTAAATGGCAGCCCCGCGCTTCTCAAAAAGCAGCACAACTCCCGCACCCACAACAAGCCCACAAGTGTGAACCTAGCCCTAGTTTTCAAAATATCATTCTTGGTATAAACCGGATTTGAAAGATCAGGGGGTCTAATGGACCCCAGATCTATCAGTAAAGAGTATCGGTCACTGACTATTGTGATCACAGGGGATATCTATATTCCCGGTGATAATAAAAGTGGTAAGGGAACGTGTCACACACACACACACACACACACACACACACACACACACACACACACACACACACACACACACACACACACACACACACACACACACACACACACACACACACACACACACACACACACACACACACACACACACACACACACACACACACACACACACACACACACACACACACACACACACACCTAAAGGCTTTTAAAGCCTAAATCACCAATGGATAATAAAAAGTCAGTTTGTTGGAGAAGGGAGGAGCGATTGGGTTTGGGGGGGGGCAGGGGTGCCTTGCCATCCTAGGCTACAGGGCTGTGCATTTCTATTGCTGAACAGTGCAGGGAGGCTCAACTCTAGTCTCTGCATGCAAGGGTGGCTCCATAGGATGCTGTAATAGAAAGGAGCCACCCTGAAACAGGAAACTTGGGGCAGTGGTCGTGTCACCAGCTTAAAAAAGGTGGATTAAAAGATAGGCAAGGATTACAAGATAAAGATAATGCATATCCTTAAAGTCATTAAATAAGCACTGAAACTGCTAAAAAAAACCCTGAGGGCCTAATTTCACTTTAAAGATTTTTTTTTCAGAAAAAAAAAAAAAAAAAAACCACACGCATCTACCTGGAGGTGAGCCCTAATAAACAAGGCAGGGCATAGAACAGGAACCAACAGCCAATCAGATCTCAGGTACTATACTGGTTACCCTATGCCCCCCACGTAACATGGTCCTGAACCCCCCTATGGCACGATGCCTGAACACAGTCTGTGCTCACTGTACAATACATGCCAGTGCTGGATTTTTTTTTTATGTATTGATCTTGAACAGTCTTCTGCACACCCTTGTCTATGCCAACGCTGTGGAGCTACAAGTCCCAGCATGCCTCACTTCTCACAATTGCAGCAGGGCCACAAAGCAAACAATGACCTCTGAGCACAGAGGGGAAGGTCTACAGAATAGAATTTGGCACCTTCACACAAGTCAGACAAGGACTGTGCCAACGATTGCAACACAAAGCTGGAAAACCTAAAATCAGAAGAAGCGTTGTTTGCCATGGTGGGAAATTTTCAGCCAAGTCTCCTTTGTAAGCAAAGTTGGTGAGTGCGTTCACAGCTTTTAAGAGAAGGTGGGTTTGTGGGCAGCCCGACTACTAAGGCCCCTTACACAAGAAGCAGTGCGTCCTGCATAGAGGGTGCAGCATCCAGCCCTACTGCAGGCAGCATATACAGTACTTTTTCTATGGCTGAAAGGAGGAAAGAATTCACTTTAAGCAAACCAAGTCGAAGAACCTGAATATGGTTTCAGGTTAGTCTGTTTTCATTCCTGTTACAGCAGAACTCAGCCTGGAAGGGGGTATGGCAGTAACAGGGCTCAAGCAGATGTCCTGTAAGCAAACTGCCTGATGACTGGAGAATAGAGCAGACGGATGAGCCCATCAGTCTGCCGCTGCTCCTGAATGGTCCAGTTACAGTCTGCGAGAAGGAAGGTTTAATCAGGTTCCATTGCTTTACCTGCATAATAGCAAAGGGAATACAAGAAACTGGCTGTGCCGCATAATAGGGTTCTGTAAATCATAGGACTGGCTGAACTGATCTAAAAGTGGCATCACTGCTGAAAAATCATTACTTCCACAACGCAGCTCTTCGTGCATAAGCAGCCAATGGTGAAGTCTGTGCATGGTCACATGGGAAGCATATGTAGCGGTATGCAAAATCTTGACTTCCAGAGCAACTATTACTTCCAGGGATTCCCATCCTCAAATACCCCCAACAGGCCAAGTTTTGGGAAGTACCCGTAGATAACATCATCAATACCAAGCCATTGGCATTCATTTACAGGACCTGTGCATGGGGAAGGAAATCCTGAAAACATGGTCTGTCGGAGGTACGAAAGTACTAAGGCTGGGAACCAAAGACTTCATAGAGTTCCTGCAATGCAGCACAAGAGGGATTATAAGGGATTTAAATTTCACGAAGGTGCAATAATCCATATTGCTCAGAATGTCCTCTGCAGTAAAGGATGAATTCTGATTGGCTGCGGGGGTTTACAGCTGAATTCCAGCACAACACACAAACTTTGTGCTCCCCAGGTATTACCCTGTAAAAGTAGCAGTGACATCATCACTGTCCTTTACATAGGCTGCATAGAGAGCAGAGCTATAGATGGGACCTAGTAACTCCACCCACTACAAGTTGCCTGCAGAAAACCACAGGAGGGGGCGGAGACCAGACCAGTCACCCTAAAGAAGCAAAGATATAGAGCAGAGCTGTGGGAGGGATCAAACAGGCTCCACCCATTACAGGCTGCCAACAGAAAACTACAGAAGGGGGCGGAGACGAGACCTGTCACCCTGAACAAGGAGAGAGCAACAGTGAGTGGTCGTTATTACAGAAGGAAAGTCAAACTGGATTACTGCACAGATCTAAAAGAAATACACAAAGCATCAAGTAGAAGAAATTCACATTATGAAGAGATTTAAATAAAAGGGCTTATCCCTGAATCCAGTGTTTGGGATAAAGTCAAAGCCTTTTAGTTTTAGATAGAGGGGGGGGGGGGGGGAGATAATTTCTCTGTGTCCCTGCTGGAAAGATACACCTTCTATTTACAGACTAAATTCTGCTGATAAAAGCAGACCTGAGTGGTGATCACCTGATACACACATGGAAGGGCCACATCAGTCGGGCACTTTATTCCCAGCAATCCTCATTTTTCAATAGGAATTTGTACGAAGGAAATCTGTTTTCTATGGAATCGCTGACTTCCAAATGTTACAGCGAATTGCAGTGCATGCTCTGTGTTTGCGCAGTTTCAGTTCAATGACAATTGGTCTGCGGTCACCTCTAAGGATGAACTATAGCAATTCAATCACTAATTACACCTCATTGTTAAAGCAGAACTCCGGCAATAAAAAACAAACACTCCCAACTACACTTGCTGACCACCCTCCAAAAGACACAACCCCTCCCCCAAAGGGGTCAGAGGTCGGAATGCTCCCACAAGTCTAGGTCTAGATCACACTTTCTCAACTTTGTGAACACAGAGGAACCCTTGAAATAACTTTCTGGTCTCAGAAATCCTAATTCTTATATCTACAGCTTGCCAATTATCAGAATGATGATCAGTGGGAAGAATGCCCCTTACATTGGGGAAGTGGGGGGGGGGGTCAGTGGAAGAATGCCCCTTACATTGGGGAAGTGGGGGGGGGGGGGTCAGTGGGAAGAATGCCCCTTACATTGGGGAAGGGGGGGGGGGTCAGTGGGAAGAATGCCCCTTACATTGGGGAAGGGGGGGGGGGATCAGAAATCAGTGGGAAGAATGCCCCTTACATTGGGGAAGGGGGGGGGGGATCAGGGGAAGAATGCCCCTTACATTGGGGAGGGGGGGGGGGGATCAGTGGGAAGAATGCCCCTTACATTGGGGAAGGGGGGGGGGATCAGTGGGAAGAATGCCCCTTACATTGGGGAAGGGGGGGGGGGATCAGTGGGAAGAATGCCCCTTACATTGGGGAAGGGGGGGGGGGGGGATCAGTGGGAAGAATGCCCCTTACATTGGGGAAGGGGGGGGGGGGGGGGATCAGTGGGAAGAATGCCCCTTACATTGGGGAAGGCTTTGGGGGGGGGGGGGATCAGTGGGAAGAATGCCCCTTACATTGGGGAAGGGGGGGGGGGATCAGTGGGAAGAATGCCCCTTACATTGGGGAAGGGGGGGGGGGGATCAGTGGGAAGAATGCCCCTTACATTGGGGAAGGGGGGGGGGGGGATCAGTGGGAAGAATGCCCCCTACATTGTGGGGAACGGTGGGGGGGGGATCAGTGGGAAGAATGCCCCCTACATTGGGGAAGGGGGGGGGGGATCAGTGGGAAGAATGCCCCTTACATTGGGGAAGGGGGGGGGGTGTCAGTGGGAAGAATGCCCCTTACATTGGGGAAGGGGGGGTGTCAGTGGGAAGAATGCCCCTTACATTGGGGAAGGGGGGGGTGTGTCAGTGGGAAGAATGCCCCTTACATTGGGGAAGGGGGGGGGTCAGTGGGAAGAATGCCCCTTACATTGGGGAAGGGGGGGGGGATCAGTGGAAAGAATGCCCCCTACATTGGGGAAGGGGGGGGGATCAGTGGAAAGAATGCCCCCCTACATTGGGGGGGAAGGGGGGGGGGATCAGTGGAAAGAATGCCCCCCTACATTGGGGAAGGGGGGGATCAGTGGAAAAGAATGCCCCCCTACATTGGGGAAAGGGGGGGGGATCAGTGGAAAGAATGCCCCCCTACATTGGGGAAGGGGGGGGATCAGTGGAAAGAATGCCCCCCTACATTGGGGAAGGGGGGGGATCAGTGGAAAGAATGCCCCCTACATTGGGGAAGGGGGGGGGGAATCAGTGGGAAGAATGCCCCCCTACATTGGGGAAGGGGGGGGGAATCAGTGGGAAGAATGCCCCTTACATTGTGGAAGGGGAAGAATGCCTCTTATGAGGTTGGGGGTTGTTGGTGGGAAGAATGCCCCTTACATATGTGGGGGGCAGTGGGAAGAATGCCACTTACATTGGGGAAAGGTGGGGGGTGGGGTCAGTGGGGAAGAATTCCCCTTACCTTGGGGAAAGGGGGGGGGGGGGTCAGTCGGAAGAATGCCCCTTGCATTGGTGAAGGGGGGGGGGGGGTCAGTGGGAAGAAAGCTCCTTACATTGGGCATGGGGAAGAAAGCCTCTTATGAGGATGGGGGTGTTGGTGGGAAGAATGCCCCCTATAATTGGGGGGGGGGGGGGGGAGGTGGGACAGTGTGGAGAGTACCCCTTACATTTGGAGGGGGCAGTGGGAAGAGCACCACTTGCAGTAGTGAAGGGGGGGGGGGGGGGGGGGGGGTCAGTGGGAAGATAGCGCCTTACATTGGGGCAGGGGCAGTGGGAAGAGTGCATTTTATGAGGATGGGGGTGTTTCTGGGAAGCATGCCCCTTACATTTGTGGGGGGGGGGGGGGGACAGTGGGAAGAATGCCCCTTACAATGGGGAAGGGGGAGGGTCAGTGGGAAGAATGCCCTTACATTGGGAGAGGGGGTGAGGTCAGTGAGAAGAAAAGGTCATTGGAGGTTGAAACTGCCAATATCGTAGGGAACCCAAACGCAACCTCAGGAGAACCCCTGATAGAGAACGGCTGATCTGCACAATACAGGAGATCAAAGCTCGGGATCAGATCCGGGAATCAGCTGAGAATCACAGCAGTGCCAGCCGATTCCCAGAACACAGGGCTGGCATCCAATGTCCTAAAACCATTTCCACTGCCGTCAATGGAAACACATTCTGGCTCCTGAGCTCACAGCGCAGATCCCCAATTCTCATTCTTACCTCCCTGTATAAAGAACCTTCACACAACTTGTACTATGTAGCAATTCTGAAAGCTTTCCTCTTCCCCATTCACTGCATTGATCACCACCCCAGTCCACCTGAAAAACAGATATTGCCATTTTCAGGAGGCTCCACACTTCAACAACCCATCTTCTGGGGTACTCCAGCAGTAAAGTTCCCAACTCCACCTATTGTGGATTGATTACAAGGGGGTCTGGTGTCCGGTCTGCAGTCATGTGACTTCTGCCATGGCAGTAAACGAAGGCTTAGCCCGTGCATATGCCTACAAATCAGTGGTGCGGGTGCAATGTTCAGGAGGGGGAGGAGCAGGCAGAATCTGGCTCCCAATGATAGAACCTGGTTTGCCCAGGGGGAGGACACAAGCTGGCTACCCAGAACCTGGCAACCCAGAGTGGACAGAACCTCACATCCCAGAACCTGGCTTCCCAGGGTGGGCAGAACCTCATGTCCAAAAACCTGACTCCCCATAAATTGGTTTCCCAAGGTGCACAGAACTTGGTATACCAAGGTGGACAGAACCTGGCTGTCCAGAACCTAGAGTCATAGGATGGACAGAACTTGCTATCCCATGATGGGCAGAACCTCACTACTCAGAACCTGGCTGCCCATGGTGGACAGAACCTGGCTTCCCAGAGTAGACAGAACCCCACCCCCAGAACCTGGCTTCCCAGGTGCTGAACCCCCAGAACCTGGCTTCCCAGGCGCTGAACCTCCAGAACCTGGCTTCCCAGGCGCTGAACCTCCAGAACCTGGCTTCCCAGGCGCTGAACCCCCAGAACCTGGCTTCCCAGGCGCTGAACCCCCAGAACCTGGCTTCCCAGGCGCTGAACCCCCAGAACCTGGCTTCCCAGGCGCTGAACCCCCAGAACCTGGCTTCCCAGGCGCTGAACCCCCAGAACCTGGCTTCCCAGGCGCTGAACCCCCAGAACCTGGCTTCCCAGGCGCTGAACCCCCAGAACTGGCTTCCCAGGCGCTGAACCCCCAGAACCTGGCTTCCCAGGCGCTGAACCCCCAGAACCTGGCTTCCCAGGCGCTGAACCACCCCCAGAACCTGGCTTCCCAGGCTGAATAGAACTCCAGAACCTGGCTTCCCAGGCGCTGAACCCCAGAACCTGGCTTCCCAGGCTGAATAGAACCTCCCTCCCCAGAACCTGGCTTCCCAGGCTGAATAGAACCTCCCTCCCCAGAACCTGGCTCACTAGTTCTCCACCTAGCCCACTAGTTCCTAGCAGAAACTCGCGGTTCTGGATGGACTTTCCGAACATCTGCGGGAAGGTCATACCTGGGAAATGTCTTCTGCCTCCTCCTCGGGTCCCTGCACCTCCAGGGTGAGTTGCTCCGTGGCCGCCCGGATCTTACCGACCACCTGCTGGTGCCCCAGTTCCCTGACGTCCTCCCCGCACACCCGGATCAGCCTGTCACCCGCTCTGAGCCCCGCTTTCTCGGCGGTCGATCCGGGCTCCACCAACTTCACATACTGTCCGGGCCGGTTCTTCTCGCTGTGCAGGTGGAAGCCATAGCCCGAGGGCCCCTTCTCCAGCACGCACACCCGCTCCGGTGCCATCCCTCCCCGCAGAGTGCCAGTACAGAGCCGAACAACGTCACTTATAACAGCGGAGAGAGCAGAACGGAGACTGGCACCACCACCCGCCAATCAAAGGGTGGCCCCGGGGGAAACGGCGGGCTGCCATTGGACGGGAAAGGACAGGAAGGAGGTGGCCATGCAAATTAGGCGAGGCGCGCCCACTCTGTCCGGACCTAATCGCTGCAACAAATGACTCACATGACCCGCAGAGGACACGTGACCAGCGGTGAAAGTTTTTTGGCAACATTGTTACGGAGTTCTTATTGTAATCTTTTCCTTTAAAGGCGCAGCGCCTCTAAAAGGGCCCCAGAGAAATGTCACCAAAGGGCCAAGAGGAAGAGCAGCTCTGTGTAAAGGGAACCTCTCAGGAGAAGAATATAGAAGCTGCTGCTTCCAACTTGACTTTTGAAGGCTGCACCTGCTACCCTGGAACAAGCCAGACAATTTTTGTAGCTGCTGACTTTTATTGAACAGAAAAAACGGCTGGAACTCCGCTTTGACCTAAAATGCACACTCACAGCGGTTCATATGAATGGGGTGCAATCGTGATGTGGTGTGGAAATTGCACAAAAACCGGTGCAAATTCCACACCGCATCCGTGTGAACCCAGGCTTAAAAACTAAAAAATCCAACTATTTACATCTGTGCACTGCAAAAAAAAAAAAAACACTCCAAAAATATACCTTCCATTATAGTCAATGGAAAAGCACCAAAAACACACCACGCATATTTTTAGGTGCATTTTTTTGAGTCACTTGGCTGTTTTTCTCAAGTGAGCAGAGGGAAAATGCTTGTATAATGCTTTATGTATTGTTCTGCATTTGTACACAATGCATTACGTTTGCAAACCCGTAAGTCACATTTTACCATGCACAGATGCAGGGGCGGACCGACCGTTTGGAAACTCGGGCACTGTGCATATCAACAGATGTCAAAATGGATGTCAATGGATGTCAAAATGGATGTCAATGGATGTCGGTATGCGACTAAAATGGATGGAAATGTACATCCATTTTCCATGCATTTTAGCGCAAGTCAGTATGAACTGGCCCTTAATTCACACTGACTTGCACTAAAATGCATTCCCCCCCACCCCGTGCCCCCCCCCATCTTTTCCATCACTACTAACAACGCCACCATCTCTCCCACCCCACATGCCAAAGTCCTGGGTGTCACCCTGGACTCCCACCTCTCCTTCCTACCCCACATCCAACTGCTACCTAGATCTTGGAGGCTCCACCTCCGCAACATCTCCAAGATACGCACATTCCTCACCCCAGACACCACCAAACAACTCGTACACTCCCTCATCATCTCACGCCTGGACTACTGCAACTCCCTTCTCACTGGCCTACCCAAACGAATGCTATCCCCACTCCAGTTGATCCTCAACTCAGCGGCCAGACTCATCCACCTCACCAACCGCTCCACATCTGCCTCCCCCCTCTGCCAATCCCTTCATTGGCTCCCGATTGCCCAACACATCAAGTTCAAACTGCTAACTCTGACCTACAAAGCCATTCACAATGCCGCCCCGAACTGACCTGATACCCAGATACTACCCTACCCGTGCCCTCCGCTCCTCACAGGACCTCCTGCTTTCTAGCTCCCTGGTCTCCTCCTCCCACGCCCGATTGCAAGACTTCTCCAGGACTTCCCCCATCCTCTGGAACTCCCTACCCAAATCCATCAGACTGTCACCTACCCTCCTCCTCTTCAGGGAAGCCTACCCCAACCTCACCTAACACATGACCTCACCTAACAACTAACCTCCTCCACTCCTCCCACCTCTCCATCCCCCACAGCCATCTCCTCCTGTACCACCTTCCCCTCCCTCCTAGATTGTAAGCTCGAAAGAGCAGGACCCTCGAACCCCTCGTGTATTGTATTGTTACTGTCTTGTCTCATGTTCTGTCCCCCTTGCTACTGTACAGCGCTGAGCATACCCATTGGCGCTATATAAATACTGTATAATAATAATAATTTCCATCCATTTTATTCCTGCGCTGACGTCCGTTAACATACATTTTCACAGGATATCCTGAGTATTGCTTTTACATCCATTGCATTGCGATAAAATGCATACATGTTGCATTTTAGCTCAACATAGGTCAACGCAGCATTATGGTGTGAATAGGTGTGATTGTTTTTCAGATGTCCTCCTGTAGATCTGCATTTTACATGTGCGCTAAAACGCAGATCAACTCACCAGTGTGAATTGGCCCATAGTCCACTGGATGTTTTTATAGCTGCTATTTGTGGCATTTGGCATTGTCCATGCACACATAGGCTCAGGGATGAACTGACAACACATGGGGGCCCCCGGGCAATACGGGATCGAGGGGGCCCCTGTGTCCTTGCCCAAACTCAAAAAAGCCTATGAAAAGGGTACCAGGGGCATCTCATGGGGCCCCCTACTGACCCCGCCCCCTCACCCCCCCACCCCCCCCCCCACCCACCCCCCCCTTCCACCTCCCCCCCTCACCTACCGCACACCCTCCCCATACCCTCTATCCCCCCCCCCCCCCCCCCCCAATACTGCCCTCGGGCAGTGCCCGAGTTTCCAAATGGTCAGTCTGCCCCTCTATAGGCTATAATCAGCGTTTTTTTGGCAGGGGCGTTTTTTGGTTGAAAAACCCCCCAGAACTAGTGGGGTTTTAGCTGTAAAAACACTCTAATGCTGGTAAGCATGGAAACACACAGGAAACTAGTGCTTTGGGACATTTTTTTGAGCAAATTTAAAAAATTTTTTAGTGTGTGTAAAAAAAAATGCTTGAAACACAAACGTGGAAAAATGCAGCAAAAATGCAAAAAATGTGGAAAACCTTGAGTTTTTAACGTGACTTTATACAGCTAACGCTACTGGCGTTTTTAAAATGCTCAGTGTGCACGAGGACTAATAGTAAAAGGTGTCAAATTGATGTCAAGCATAGAATTGAAGAAGGATGGAAATGTTATGTTAAATGTACAAAATTCAAACCGTGAATTTGGGTTTTGGTTAGGAAAAGTCGTAATTACTGTAATTTGCATGTGCAACGAAAATCGAATGTAGATTTCAAAACATTGGCATGTCCATCAAACAACATTTTTCAGAGCGTTCATACTGTTAGTCAAATCTATATTATTGATTGTTCTGACCAATGGTTTTTCTGAATTTCCATTTGAACGACTGAATGAAATTCTACTGGTACATGGGCAGCTTAAAGGCCCGTTCACATCTGTGCAGGGGCGGACTGACAACTCATGGGGCCCCCGGGCAATAGGGGATCATGGGGCCCATGTCCTTGCCCAAACTCAAAAAAGCCTATGAAAAAGGTACCAGGGGCATCTCAAGGGGCACCCTACTGACCCCGGGCCTTCGGGCAGTGCCCGAGTTTCCTAATGGTCAGTCCGCCCCTGGATGCATTGGTTGACGAACTTCCACAAGCGGTCTTCCCATCTACCCACCCTTGATCTGGGTCCCTGAGTGCAGGAGGTGGTGTTTCTGTTTCTTCGTGGGGCAAACAAGTATCTTGTCCCATAGGAGTCGAAACAGTAAAAAATACAATGATAGATCATCTTAAGAGTGTATGTACTGCCAAAACGTTTTTGTTTCTATTTTAGATAGTGTAGAGGTTATATGTTTAATTTTTTTGTCAGTGATTTTTGTTCAATCTCTTTCAACATAAATTATATAATCTGTATTCTGGCAAAGTGTCTGCATAGTCAAATAAATCTGAAACTGACCTTTACATTAGTAAAGTCATCCCTAAATTTCCCATGCTATTCTCTGCCATTATTCTTAGATTCAATTCAACAAGTTTAAAGTATTTCTAAAGCATTATTTTTTCTCTATTGGATAGAGTAGGGAAGGGTTTAACGCCATGGCCAGATCTAGTGGTGGTGCTGGGGTGGCCTATGCCTCCCAGATTTTAGTTGTGCCCCCTCCCGCCCAAAGCTATCTGTGTGGGGACGAGGAGCTCTGCTGCCTGTGCCCAGGCCATGTGCAGTTCAGGGATGGGAGAAGGAGCTCTGCTGAATGCCCTGCCAGAAGTGACCCCTGTCCTCTGCCCTGCCAGAAGTGACCCCTGTCCTCTGCCCTGCCAGAAGTGACCCCTGTCCTGTGCCCTGCCAGTAGTGACTCCTGTCCACTGCCCTATCAGTTGTGACACCTGTCTTCCACCTGCTGACCTCTGTCTTCAGCTCTGCTGTCCCCTATCCTCAGCCCTGCTGACCCCCGTACACTGCCCTGCTGACCTTCCTTCCCACATCAGACAGGCTAGATATGGCCCTGGTTAAATTCCAACATGTTTTTGCAGCTAGTGCACCATTGGGAGGGAAGCTTCCTAGAACTAAATAGAACTAAAGACAAATCTTTTTTTTTCATTTTGGATAGAGTAATGCAGGCCATAGACGGGGAGAAAACCGGCCGGTTTTTTAACAAAAAAACAAAAAATCGGTCGTTCAATAGGCCGACGTTACCACCAACAGTAAAAAAAATTGGCCGATTTTCTTCCTGTCTACGTCCGGCATTTAATTACTTCTGTCCCTGCAGAGAGCCCCGCTATTGTATTTGACATTAAAAAGGATTGCGGTTGCAACATTGTATTTACTTGTATCCATTTCGGATACAGATGTTTTTTTTTTCCAGATACAAATAGATACATTGTTGCAACCGCAATACTTTTTAATGTCCAATATAATAGCGGACTGGAATTCTTCTTCTTTCTCTTCTTCTTCTTCTTCTTTCTCTTCTTCCACTTCTTCTTTCTCTTCTTCCACTTCTTCTTTCTCTTCTTCTTCTTCTTTCTTTTCTTCTTCTTTCTCTTCTTCTCCTTTCTCTTCTTTCTCTTCTTCTTCTTTCTCTTCTTCTTCTTTCTCTTCTTCTTCTTTCTCTTCTTCTTCTTTCTCTTCTTCTTCTTCTTCTTCTTCCTCTTCTTCTTCTTTCTCTCCTTCCTCTTCCTCTTCTTTTTCTTCTTCTTCTTTTTCTTGCAGGTCAC